TCTTTCTTCCCCTTTTAAAGAAGTTCATTGTTCTCTGTACCTGTCCTGCCCTGCTCACCGGGTTCTGTCTGGCATTTTTTCACTCAGCCCAAATACTCAGACTGGTTGCAGGAGCAGGAGAGGAAAGGCAGAGGGATGGGGGTTAAGCATGGGGGGGAGGCAGCAACAGCAGCATTATCTTTAGTTTATACCTTTAGTTCAATTGGTCCTACTTAGTTTCATATTTAGAACAAGCTGCTTTTCCCAGTTGAAAGGCAACAGACAGTTACAGAGAGTGTAACCCTTCATTGGAATTTACAAACCTGAGACAAATGAAGGTTCCAGTGAGCACACCTGGACAGCGAACTCGCTTCCACTGCGCTGTCTGCACTGGTGTAGCCTGCAGAATTTACAACAGGAAGCCCAGTTTCTTTGCAGATTGCCTCAAACTGAAGACCAAATGCCTGACAATTGCTGAGCACCAAACTCCAGCTGAAATTGCCTTCTCTACCAAGAATTCACTGGAGCAACTGGAGTAGACCAGCTCCCCAGACATGAGCCTTCATGCCTTTGCTATTCTCATGTTTGACTCACGGGAGGCAAGGAATAGCCAAACTTAAAAAATTAAAATCAGCACAATAAATAAATGAGACTCAGATTCCCAAGAGAGGTTAAAGCCTGCAGAAATTTGGGATCGCTTAATCAGGCAGATGCAAGTAAGATGTCCAAGCTTTTGCTCAGCTCATTAGAAGGATGAGCAAAACTTCCCTGAAGACAAAGGGGGAGGTAGCAGAAAAAGAATTGCAATGTAATTTCAAAAAAATCAGCATTTTCAGCTCATGACTTCATCAACGCTGATTGTTCTCTTGCTCTGCATTTGGTGTGATCGAGATCACGGACTACGACTCGCTCAGAGACAAGCGCATTACAGAATAAGAATTTTGGCTGCTGTAACTCAGTGATAACCGATTAGCACTGCTTGCATTTCAATGAGGGAGTAAACTTCAAAGGCATCTTGAATTGCTTGAGGTAAATCTTTTCTATCAATATAAATCAGGATCTAATGAACAGCAATATGAAAAAGAAATCAGCCTAACAGAGTTAGGACATGTTACCAGAAACAGCTAGTTTTCCTTTCAGCTGCAGCAGCCAGGACAGACCAACAAGACATTGGTTTTCCTTGTCAGCTCACTACAATTTCCACCCCCCTCCCTTTTTCATTGCACTTTGTCTACTTTGAAATAACCTGCCCATGCAGAGAAGCACTACGTGGTGCGTCAGGTATCAACAGCCAAGGCAACACATGCCCCGAGAGCGAGCCGAGCGGAACACCAGGCACCAGTCCATTCCAGGCACCCTCATGAATATTGTAGTGGTAGCTCCAGTGGCCAGGCGCTCCCCTCCATGTGCTCGGAGCTGCTGAACTGAGGCGGCCCCTTCACCAACACGTTGCACCCTCTGTTATGCAAGAGACGACGGGCAGACACAAACACACAGCTGAAGCACAAGGAAACAGATGGTAACGACCAGCTGGGACCACTGCCCTTCACCTGCTGCTTCCCTCAGACCAGACTACCATCCCAAAATGTACGTGTGACCCAGTACCTCAAGAATGCCTCAAGAAAGAATGTGGGGCCTTCTGAGGAAAAATATACTTGAAAACCATTATGTTCTTCAGGACATACCTTGAGCAGATATACTGAGGCAGATCTATTTGGCTGATAACTGACTGACATGTACCTCATGAACAGAGCCCCCTTTTCCTATTGCTGGTGAATCAGTTCTCAAAAAAAAAAAAAAAACAAACCAAAACAACCCCACCTCTTTTTCCTGGTGGAAGGAAAGTAGTCCCTAGAGAAGCAGGATGTGCATAATGTTAGCCTCCAGGAGCAACCCAGAGACAAAGCAAGCCAAAGAGAAGAAAGGGGTTCAGTTATGCTCCTACACTGACATTAATGGAAGTTGAATTAGGTCCAACATTAGCAGAAAAAAGTAACTCTCCAAAGCACTGGTAGAACAAACACTGTTGCCATAACTACCTCGCTCCCAGAAGCATGCCAATTTAGTTTCTACAGTTAAATATTTACAGAGTAGATTGCATGTTTTCAGGAGTTGCAGGAGCTGCTTGTAGAATGCAAATGCACAGTCCTGTCTCCAGGGTCCTTACAGAGGATTTCCAGAGCCACCCCTTGCCCATCACTCCCTGCACACCTCGTAATCCATCAGGAAGGAGAAGCACGGCTGCCCCAGGAGGGCGGACAAGCCAGCAACCGAGGGCACCCACAGCACGGGCTGGGAAGCGACCGCACCAGCAGGACACCGTCCCACAGCACCAGAGCAAGGCAGGGTGGCAACAGCCACAAGTCCCACGGACAGCCCCGGCATCACCAGACCACACAAGGCAACGAGTCGGAGCCAAGGTCAAGTGAGGCTGGATGAGCAGGGGGCAGAGGGGGTCATGGCTGTACCTGTGGCACAGCTTTGGTGAGGACCAGGGAATTGTTGGACTACAAGGCGGGGGCTCTTGGCCATGGGCAGTGGTGCCAGGCAGGCTAGTCAGGGCAGTTAGTGCTCATTGGAGCACCCAGGATACGGCACTGCCCTTGCACCAGACCGCTCTGATGTGCTTCTGCCAGCCGTCACCTACACCACCCTGAACCACTCCGTAAACTTTCATTCTGCTTCAGCCATATATGATTCAGCAACTGATACTCATTGGAGTTGTCCACACGTCCTAGAACCACTGAATTCTTTCATCCTGTTTTTGCTTCATCCCTCTCACAGCTCTGACATTGAGGAAACTTGCACATAAAGAATCAAGAAAAAAACAGGCCTGCAAAGATCATAACAAAATCTAGTCCAGATCCATAGAAGTGGATTCCCTGCAACACCAGGTAGAAAAGTGCATTTTGGGTATCTAACGTGTTGCTAAAGACTTTCAACAATGAGAAACAGCACAATCTCCAAGAAAATGTGTTCTTCACTACCTATACCATTAAAATACTTTTTATATCTGAAACTGCTTCTGGTACTCCCACATAACTTAGCTTTAAAGGAGCATGGACTCAGGTGCATGACAGTACTTTAAATAAGTGCATGGCCAGTTAAAACGGCTCATTAGATACATAGTTAACAATTGCTGTGGCGCTATGGTTGCACATTTCAGCCCCATATATATTCTCTATCAACATATTGTGACAAGAATTATGCACACGTATGTTTATCCAGTGTGATGCCCATTTGTCCCTTAGGAACAATGACATGCAGAGTCACTTTAAGATGAAGTCCTACTACTATGAAATGTTTCAGGGTAGAAACTTCATAATCATCTAGCTCGCACGTGTAAATAATGCATTACAAGCCCCTTCAGTTAAGTACCTTAGGAAGGACTGAAGGTTGTGGTCAGGGATCCTACCGAAAGCTTTTCCTCCCCACAAGTTTCTGCTCCAAGAGGCACCCAAACGCCACAAAATTCCCATCAGAATACAAGTTCACTTTGGCCTCATCAACCAGAGGATACCACTCACAGCACCATTGGATTTAAGAGAGAAAGCGTGTTTACCTTGGCAGATGACCACGTTACTTCAGGCATATGGTAGTCTGACTCTTGTAATGTTGCCAGGTACTCCCGTGCATGTTTGGTGCTGGTTATTCCAAATGGGTTCAGATGGAAGTTATCTTAAATTAAAACTATGTTCAGCCCTAAGAAACAAGTGTTGTTTATTAAAAAATAAAAGATCCTGAAAATACTTTCACAAGCATACATAGAGATACTATGGGTTTAATCTTTTGGACTTAAAAACAGGCTTATCTCTATAACCTTAGAAATAAAAAAAATACGTGTGTTAAATTACAGAAATCACACAGCAGCAAAGTCACACATCAGCAGTAACATTTACATCAATACAATTGGTGCAAATTTCAAGACAAACAAAAGAGTAAACCAGGCTTCAATAAATACAAAATTATTTTAAAAATGTATATTCTAATCAGACGAAATAAAAGTCGTCTTAGAAGATTAAAAATGATTCTGTTACAGGTTGAACACTATTGGAGAAAAGAAATTTACCAAAGGAAAGACTGTCAATTTTTTTGGGTTACCTCAAGGGTTGAATTCACATTTCCCTGGAATACTACCACACATAACTATCACTCATTGCTCATACCAGGCATAACCCCAACTAGTACGCTGATTACTTGAGACAAGTTAATTCAATATTGTAGAAATGCCAGCTGTTCGTTTATTTTGTTGTTCTTGATTTCAGTGGGATTCTTAAGAGTAGGGAGCGTGGGGTTGGATCACTAAGTGCTGATAAAACTGTAATATTTTAGACTGGTTTAAGGAAAAAAGGAGGAAAACCTCCATCACGTGCTTCTACTGAAAAGTCTCATTTGTCTGCGCATAATGTACTAGCGATACTCAGAAACCAGCAGAAGAGGTACGACATTCACAAGTTGATTGTCAGAGTCCAAGCAGGCTGTTGGCCCATGAGTACAGCCAATGCTGTACTTAATGCTGTGCCAGGAGAATCCTTCCTCTGGATAGCTACATCCTCGAAAGAGTTAATCCTGTTGTATATGCTAAGCATGGTGGTCAGACATCTTTCTTGCATGATACTGAAAGCCCTAAACAGCAAACCAAACAGCTTTTACTCTGGACTGTTCTATCTTGGCTTTAGAAATATGATAATGCTTCATTCTCCCAACAAAAAAATCAGATATATTCAATGCATTTTACTGAGAAGAATAAACCCCACAGCTCCCTTACAAAGCAGGTAAGTCAGATTCTCTCCATTTTAAAGCAGAAAATTGAGGCATAGTACAGCTAAGCCTGTGACACTGCTTGAACCCAGTCCTCCTCCCAATATTTTATGCCAGTAAGACCACACATAAAAATGAATTAATCTCACAGACTTTTTAAAAAACATGAAAATGAGATCATCTGATAAGACTGAGGCTGACACTGCATTTCATAATGGGGCAGATTTGAAAACATTTACTGCGCTGGCTGCAAAAACTCTGATGTGAACACAGCTTCTGCATAATCCTCACAAACATCCTGCAGCTCTGCTGCCACATCACATAGGGCTTCTTCTGTTAGTTGCTCCGCAAGACTGAGGGAGAGGGAGGGAAAAGAAAAGGAAAAGGTTCAGAAAGTCAGATTCCGAATTCCAGTCATTCACTCCATTGATATCAATGCTCCGATTTTAAAAGGCAAATTCTCCTGTTTTTTCATTCTTTCTACTGCTTAGCCCCAGGAACAGATCTGGCATGTGTTCTGATGTGTGGCATAAGAGATCAGAAATTCTTTCCTCAGTCTGGTTTGTAGCAAAGGACGTACTTCAGGCTTAAAAGTGTTGAGAGATCTCAGTTGCTTCCTTTTTTCAAACTCTTAAGATAATAATCCTGCTTTGGGAATAAGAGTTAACATACTGTGGTGCTCATCCAGAGGCCACTGAAGTAAGTGGGAAGCTTCTTACTGATTTTAGCTGCTGCTGAATCAGGCCTTACTGAGAGCAATACAGTTAAGGAAAAGTGAGATAAGAGATTTCAGTTTTCAGTGATCTCTGGACCACAGCAGATATTACATAAGGGAAAACTATTTTAGTGCAAGAACACAATTGTTTACTGCCTCTTGAAAACTTCTCTTCAGAGTTTCGCATATATTATAAAATATCATAAAGTTACTTTTTCTAAGACCTTTTGAGCATAGCATGGGAGTATTTCCTTTAAACAGTCATACTATTTTACATAAAAGGATTTATAACGCCCTCTGGTGGTAAGAATAGATCAATGACGCACGCTGTGTATCGGAGTGCATTTGTAGTTTGATTTCAAGCAGCAACACGTATCAGGCAAATGGCAGCAGTGGCATTCAGCTGTCAGGAGGAGCGATTCACTGCCGTGTAATCTATCTGCCAGTCCCAAGAAGGTGCCAGTCCCTGGACTACCCAGCCTCACACCAGTGAGGAAAGGGAGTACAGTTCAGACGGCAGAATGACAGTGCTGAGATCTGACAAGGCGTATTTCAGTGGTTCAGTTCAGTAGATTCAAACACAGTGATCTAACCACAGTTATTAAAACATTTGCCTACTTATCCACAGTTAGGCAAACCATCAACACACATGATGAACTGCACTCGTGCAAGTCATCCCAAGTATTGCAGGACCCAGCTCCTGGAAACACTGATGCAGATGCCAAATGTTACTCAAATGAGCTGTATCATTGATTTCAATGCTACTACACTAAAAACGTGTGCAGGAGCTGAAAAACTCTTGGCAATTAAGCCTGATGTCCTATCTGCCATACAGACAATTATGGCAAACCACTCCATCTGTAACCACTGAAGTTAGATTTTGTAATTCGTTCTTAATACTCCAGAGTTTTCTTCTTTCATTTCTCTCCTCTCATAGTCAGAAGTCTTCTGGTTTCCTATCTGCAGGGAATTAATGGCCCCTCTATGCCAGCTGATGCTGAGCCAGTATTTCTTCAGTTCTGAAAGAACAGGACTAGCAAGGTTCAAGTTCAGCCTATATTTCCATGCATTTTTTGGGCTGGGACTCTACAAGACCAATAGGTGATTTCTGAAATAAATCACACATATTGAGCACAATTTCTAGGCAACTGTATGCAATCTCTCAAGAAAAGTGCAAGGAAATGATAAGCAGCAATATCACTTAGTTGCTATACCTGTTACTGAGCAATCAAAACACCCACTCGAGCTTCAGTGCAGGGTGGGTATTTCAGCTTACGCTGCCCTGGTTACTTAGTGCGATAAGCAATTTTTCTTTGCAAGAAGTGAACAGCAGAGAGGCTGTTACTTCTTGCTTCTTCACCTCTTCTATTTGTCCTAAGGGACAGTAAGCCACTCGTGTCACACTTCCCACAGTGAACTCCGTGAGGCGTGAAGACTTGTGGAAGGGGAAGCACTTAAATCTGTGCTAAGGCCAGTGGTCTCTTTTTAAAGAGTATCTACTGTTGTTCCTTGGAACATCAACTTCATAATCCCTCACCACAAAGATTAAAATTTGCACAGTTATTTCCACTGCTTGCTTTCTTTTTCACTCAGGAGAAATAAAAAAAAAGTTAATTTTGTTTTCCTTCAATTTACCTGCTGATGACAGTCTTCTGAAAAGAATTTAAGTTACCCTTTATTTCACGCAGTGGTTTTTGTGATAACACCATAGAAAGATGTGAAAAATAATCACTCCTCCAGGACATTCTGCTCCCATATCCTTTCGTTTTATCCAACTGCCTTAAAAATCCATGAACACCAAATACCAGTAGAGAAAGAGTCCAATTAACAGACTGCTTCTGGCTTTCAGTTTGGAATTTAAATGGCCCCCTCCCCACTCCTTTCCTGGGCAAGGACAGAAAAACCTCTTCATCAGCTGAAACATTCACTTCAAAAACACAAAGACAGTTCATATACCTCTCAGCAATCTGCCATGGATCGAAACTGCCTACCGCCTCATGGGAAATAAGCTTTAAGTGATGCTGGTATCTGCTGTTATAATCCGAGATGCTCTGGAGCATATGCTTTGGCACAGAGACACACACATAGCACTCCCTCTGTAGAGAACTCTGAGTCAAGGGCTGCAGGATGTAGTTTCCAGTCTGCAATTTCTCCTCTGCTTCTTTGTTTTCATCAATATCACTGGAAATATAAAATAGTCATTAAGCCAGACTAGATTTTCAAGTATCTTTTGAAGGGTCAGAAAATCTCTTCAAATAGTAACCATCATTTTCTGTAATGAAAACATTATAATGAAGACACACAGCTCGTAAGCTCGTATGCACCACAGCTTTGTGCAGGGCCGAATATTCTACTTACTTGCCATCAAAATGTTTTTCAAAAAAAATGTCCATTTCTGGCTCTGTGCGTCTGATTAATTTGGTTATCTGAATTGGATGAGGAGATGTAGGTCTTTTAGCTGTTGATGCAATTTGTTGTTCTAGAAGGAAGAAAACAACATTTAAAATTGTTTCTTTGGAAGAGAAAAACTACACTTACTGCAGGTAAGTCCTCACAAAGACTTTTGCTTCTTTTAAGGGGAAGTCCTACAGAGAAGTAAAGTATTGAAGGTGAAAAGCTCCTAAAATGTAAATTCAAGATAGAGTTTCCAAGAGCTCAGCATATTAAAGCTGAGCAGTTTAGAAATTCTTCCTTTAGTACAAATAGTTTGTTGTGTCAGTGGATAGTCCTACGGGATAGAAAATACCACTCCAAAACTAGTGTAGTTACTAAGCTCAGCAGTAAAGCCGAGACATAGAAAAAATACCCAGGAACATTTAGGCTAAGTCTTCAACAGTCTTATTGTGAGATTTTCCAACTAGTGCAAACCAACACAGTTCCATTAAAGTCAGAATGTGACCAGATAGCCAGCGTGGAAAAATCAGTGTAGCTTCACTGTTGTACTCAATCAAATAGTAGGATAAAGAATGGAGGAGGGCGATGGGAAAAACAGCGAGCATAAGTCACCCTTATTGGCATGCCACTGTGGCAAACAATATTAAAGTATGTACATTTATATATGGGAAACATCAAACTATTGTTGGAATGCTACCTTCCATTAGTGAGTAGTTTCCTACTAACATGACTTAGGCCCCTCTCGATTAAAAATCTAGTCTCATGTGGAAAGTTAGTTATATCTTTCATCTGAAGGACTTTACATTCTTTCATTTGTTTTCCATCCAATAAAAGCAAGCAGGAAAATTGTGATCAATGTGAACTGGAAGCATCCAAACTGTGAGTTTTTTCAAGGATTAAATACTTTCTGCTGAAGCACATTGGATAATGAATTCTGTGCAGAAAAATCCAGATTTTCTGAGGCACCATCACTTGAAAGGAATAAGGAAGGAGAAAAATCTTCTAAGCTTAAGTAATTTAACATTATCTTCTGTGTACTGCCAGAAGAACCTTAAACTGTCATGGATTCACTGCTACGCTAATATTTACTTAACATTTACTCTTGAACTCTAAGCCATTTAAACTGATGGTTTATTAAAACAAAGGAAAGAAAATGGGAGAAGCAAACTAGAAGATAAATATCTGCTTGTTCCTTCCTAAGCAAATCAACAGCAGGAACACACTGAAGACTGTTTCGCCACACCATACCTCAGCCTGTGAACTCTTATGAATAGTTTTGAATTCACCAGCATGAAAATGATTCCTGCTAAGTAATTAATGGTGTTTCAAAGGAATCAAGTCAAAAGGGACAACAACATTCAAACTGAACATTTGATGATTGGAAGCATGTGTTAAAGATTCCTTTCCTTCAGCTAAGTTGCACTGGCAGTGCTTTTTATCCAAATGCAGCCCCAGTAAAGGCAAGTAGGAAATGACAGCCTGTTCTCAGAAGAGATCCTTCCTCTTTAAAATGTTGATTTTAGAACACTATTGTAGCAACAGTCCTCTGAAAGGAGGACCTATAGGAAAAAACGTGTCTGGATGGTGCCACTTGATCACACATAATCCAGTGATTCTGATTTCAAAACATTTGAATTCAAAGACACAGAGTACAGGGAAAAAGACACTTACCCATTTTGCCTTCCTGGAATTGGAACTCCAAGTCACTGTACACAATCTGAGTGAATCTCCTGCGTACAGCCTCCTGGTATCTCTGGTTTTGAACATACAAAATTAGTCAACACATACTTAGCAGTTCAGCTGTACTAGTTACCACCCAACAGGAAAGCAGGTCATGATCCTCCTCAGTCAAAGTAGGCTTATTTTGCCTAGTTAATGTAACACAGAAAAGGGGTAGGTGGGTGAAATCACAGATGATCATCTCGTTCAAAATGCCATCCTTGAAGACTCAACTAGTTGTCAGTACCATGACAACTCCTCCCATTTCAGATCGACAGCAGTTAGCCAAAGAACTGAAGGGCCCTCATGCCGTTCCTGCCTTACCAAGTGAATTCAAATGTATGTTTAAATGCTTCACATGGACACAGACACTGCACAATGTAAGCTTCACGCTTCCAATTTATGAATGAATCTCTGCAAGTAAATGGCACTAAACTCAGTAGTTCTAAGTTAGGATAAATTTCACTGGACAGGAAGGTAGACAAAAACTATGGAAAAACTGATGAAAGAAAAATTTTTAAGAAAGCAATATATGAGAAAGTTCAAGTCAAGTAAATGATAACCTTATGAATATTTAGACAGAAAAATGGGTCTATAACTTGTCTGACTTCCCCATGTTGCCCTGTAAAATATCTTGGGTTCCCAGCACATATTTCCTTGAGATGTTCATGCTGCAAGAACACTAGGATCCTGTATCACAAACTAACGAAAAGAAAAAAAAAAAAAAAAA